CTCACAGTTACCCTCTACCTTAGGTGGTTCTTGGGCCTTGTATTGAGTGGATATTAGTAAAAAGGAAAAATAAAAAATACAATATTTGAATTTTAGTTTCTGATGGTTACTATGGTTTTATTAATACTTTGGGTTTTGTGGTTCTAGCTTCCATTGAGCACTTTGTACTGTACAAGAGAGAGAGAGAGAGAGAGAGAGAGAGAGAGAGAGAGGTGGCTGATTACAGGTATTCGTTAAAAAATATACCGATACCGTCAGTACGGATTTAAGAATCGAAACGCGTTATTAAAAAACGATATGAAATGATGATACAAATAAACTAGCAGATAATTAAAAGTCTGAGTTAATTTGTAGGCGTAGTATTTTAACACCTACTGTGCCATTTGCCACCATACTAGAGTCTTATTTACTATTTGGTTAGATTAGAGTCGCCTGGAGTTAAATACATTCATATACGTTTTTTTTTCTTTGCCGAATGGTTCCTTATAAGGAAATGACTAATATTACATTGATTATCTCTCTCCCTTCCTCTCTGTCTCTCCACACACACACACACACACACACACACACACACACACACACACACATATATATATATATATATAATTTCGAACTGCTACTTAAGTTTCACGCTATAGCGATCGCTAGACGGCTAGACGCAAGTGAAAGGGGAAGGAGCTGGTTATGTATACGAACAGTACACGTTGGAGGGGATGAACATTAGTCGCCCATTCAGGTGAAAAAGATTTAGCGATCGCTATAGCGTGAAACTTAAGTAGCAGTTCGAAATTTGCCTGAGTATATATATATATATATATATATATATATATATGTGTGTGTGTGCGTGTGTGTGTGTGTGTGTGTGTGTGTGGAGAGAGGCAGAGAGAGAGAGAAAGAGAGGGAGGGAGGGAGAGAGATAATCAAGGTAATATTAGTCATTTCCTTATAAGGAAAGATTCGGCATTCATTGACCGAGCAGCCATTGCCACCGTCGTATTTATCACATCTTTTTGTTTAAAAATTTTTTCTGGAAAATAATTTTCTCAAGTTCACTAGCTGTTATCGCACTTCCCAGTGTTGATGGAGTTTTCCTTCCTACCCTTTTCTTTGAAGTAGTGTGGATTACTATTATTTTTTCTTCCAGTTACATGTGATATCCATTTTAAGTTTTGATGCTATTGAAAGTACTGAAGTGATTTAGTTTTTGTTATTTAGTACAATTCTTTGGGATATATGTAGCACCAGTCCACGATGTTGGAGGAAGGATTATCTTCTCTAAGACTTACAGGCTTCAATCGCTCGAAGCCTCCTTCAACAACCAATCTGAGAAAGCGGTTGTATACAGCTGACAATTTAGATATTTCTAAATGAGTTTGGCACCATGCATACCTATCTATATGAATGGATCCATATCCCCACCCATGTCTAGGGATATCTCTTCGTTCTGCTTCTTTTTTTTTTAACACACTGCCCGACCCAGGGGTTGAACTATTACTATGTCATCAAATTTGGGCAATGCGGAAACAGATTGAGCAATAGCTGGGCAGTACTGAAAATAAGAACTAGACGAGATATTACGAGACATGGTCAATGGAGTGTGAAGAGTCTAACACCATAGATTAAATAAAGAATTAATTTCAGAATTTCCTGTACAGTACCCGGTTCGATATACACATGATGAAGGCCGGAGGGCACGACGGCCAAAACAACAACAAAGATGAGGACAATATCTCGAATGTAAATTGTGTAACTAATGATAAATCCTCATCCCAGAAATTTAGACAACAAATTTGCTGTAACCATTCTTCTACACTAATTAAAAAAATGATTTAAGAAGGACCAAAGAAAATTAAAATTATAAAACAAAAACTGTTTGTTACGAAAAGGAGTGTCATCCAAAAATAGAGAGCAAATAAAGCATTTATATTGAGGGGGAGGGGGATTTCTAAAAAATGTAATAGTGAAAAATAGTATCAAGCTTTATTTGTCTGCAGTATCACAACACGATGACAAGCCGTTGCAAAGTTGATGAATCACTCAAATCAATCAAGGTGGACAGTTTTATGAAAGCAGAAGGCATTGAACGTCAAGTGACCGAAGAATTAGAAATGAAAGTGTTCAGTAGAGAGTACCATATCCTTTATGCAGAGCTTCATGCATATTCTCCTACAGTCAAACTGAGCAAAACCCAAAGATATATATACTAGCTTTTGAAAATGAGAAGGTTGTCTGGGTCGATAGAAATTAGGTAAGAGTGTTCTTCAGTTATGAAAGTAAATTTAATTTGGTTTTCTCTGATTGCAAGCTAGTCCTTTGTATGACGATAAACTACATCTGGCAGCAAGGCCTCTGATCAGGAGATTGGCGGATTTTAAGGAGCGCGGAGCCTCTTCTTAATTGCTGTTATTCTCAGATCCACCCTGACTGGGATTGTAGCAATAGATAGTCCCCACAACAAAAACAAATCACTATGACAGTATAAAAATACATTTCTATAGTAAAAAAAACAACAAAACAAATTTATATAAAAAATTACCAACAATACATATTTATAGTAGATTTACCAACAATACATTTTATAGCAAAATGACCAACAAAATTTTCTATCTATAGTTGAAGACATACAATTGCATTCAAATTATATTTAGTTGAAGCCACAAAATTGTTTTCAAAATATTTAGATTTCGGCATTAATTAACCCATGGAGGTTGTTATCCCGTTCCCCCAAAAATCAACCAACCAACCAACCAACCAACCAACCAACCAACCTGACTGCAAACAGTATGTTACGGTGTAAATGTGAATGATTACTTTCCAAATGATTTAAAAATTCAGTTAAATTCGAAGGTCATAGCGTATAAGTGTGTGGGTTGTTCTTTGACGCTGATATTGACGCACTCATTCGGCTAGATATCAATTATGTCAATGATGCGATATATAAGAATATCATGAAATAACATGTTCCTTCTCTTGAGCTCATCTTTATACAAGATAATATCCTTTGGTCATATTGCAAAAATGGTAAAATAATCATTCGAACAATGGGATAAATTAATGAAGCCCTGTGATTATAGATGTGCAGAGGTAGGGTCTTTCCTGTTAATTAACCCCAAATAATTTAAACTTACTTATCGCAAATATTAACTCACCCCAAGAATTATAAATGTTAAATAAGTTTTGTTTTTTATTTCATTTTTGTCACTCCTTTGAAATTATAAATTTAAATCAAAGTTTGTTCTTTTATTAAATTTTTGGCACACTTTTGAAATTATAAATTTTAAAACAAAATTTGTTTAGCTTGCCCCGCAACAACTCCAACACTCAGAATGAGAAATTGCCAAAAATCAAGGAGTTATTCACATTTCATAACTGCAGATGATATTCGAGGTACTTACAGGGAGTTTTTTTACAATTAAAAAAAATCCGTTTTTGGCTTGTTTATCGGAGCCGATCCTACACGTAGTAATAGCGACCCGAATTCGAGACCACCGAGTCCCCCACATTTGGGGTGATCGCAAAGATCAACCCAACTGGAGTGCAATGAAACGGCCTCTCTCTTTGGGAGAATTTGAGTAAATAAGATTCTTTTTATTTTGGGGTAAATTAACAGAAATGATCCCATGGCCTGGCATAATATACTGCGTAATAATGTTAATTGGATTTACATGTCCATTTTTGCTTTACACTGTAAGAAATTTCAAGAACTTTCTCTATCCTTGCTGCTTTCTTATGCAAATTATTCAGCGCCGGACAAATTTTTGACAATATTTACTGTGATTTGTATCACGAGCGAATACTGGAAATGTCTGATTTGTAAACGTCCGTTCTTTCATATTGGACGCTACTCTACATGTATACACGCATACTTGTTTATGTTAACTGACATAAATGTTAACACTCGCGCAAGCACATATAAAAGTATCTTTCGACATAGACATTCGCGCAGAGAAGCATCCCAACATCCACTCTCAAGCGTATGTTGATAAACATATCTTTGTATATTTCCCTTTTTCACATCTGTTGAATCGAACATAAATAGAGTAATTCATCTCTTCTTGTACACTTTGTCCGTCTTTCCCTTGATATATATATATATATATATATATATATATATATATATGAGAGAGAGAGAGAAAGTACGTGTGTTTGTAAATATCAATGTTCGTTTGTATTTATTGACGTTTGTGTGTATGTGTGCAGGCATAAGAAGGCGGAAAAGAGGAGGGACCGAAGTGGATGGTGGGTATGTTCGGGATTGAACCTGATTCGACAGTTGACAGTAACCACATGGCCACCTGCGAACATCTACACTAACAAGCCGTTGTCTTAGACTGCTAATCCCGAATTCAGTTCCCTGACTCAAATGGCGCCCACCCCTGCCAGGTCTCTTATTTACGACTTTGCGTCACTTCCCTCGCCTCATACCCATTTATTCCTTTTTTTTTTCTTTTTTATTTTTTGATATTTTATTTCATTTGAATTATTTTGACATACACTTTTGTGAGACGAGTGAACAATTCATGAAACATTTCTAGAAATCAAAATTTGATTTTATCGATGTCGGTTACTTACAAAATTTTAATCTTCCTGTTTTTCATTATTGTTGTGCAAAATGAGACAAACGTTGACTTTATTATTATTAAACAATTATTAACATCATTAGTTCAAATCTATTAGAATCTATGTAATCAAAGAATAGCTTAATTCTCTGATCGTCACACACTGTGTGCTTATGAATTTTCATGTGCGTATGTATTGATTTGTTTTTTTACAGATTATCGACCTTTTGTAGGTTATTTAAAACCAGAAAATATTTTTAGATTTAAACAATTTTTACTGATACAAGTTCTTCCAATTAACCCATAGCTTGGGGTAGAAGATGTGAATTCAGACCTTCCTCAGGGCCGTAAATGAATATAGCGAACCCAATTAGAATTGGAACGCGGTTCTCTGATTCCAATTCTTTGTCGTTATCTATAATACCACCAGCATATCTAAGTTTACAACACCTGGTCTTCCCAAGCGGTCACCCATCTCGGTACTGACCAGACACGACGTTTCTTAACTTCAGTAATCGTACGAGAACCGGTGTTTGAACGAGATATGGTTGTAAGCTCTGTGTATATGTAATACGTATGTCTGCGTTGTACATTTTCATACATTTAAAAATATGAAGGGTAGTAAAAAATGAAAATATTTTTGATACGTCCCAATGTAATCATATTTATTAAAAGTAAATTTAAAAGTAATTTAGTCTTGTAAAAGATCACTAGAGGGAAGATGATTTACAATGCTATGTGAGACTGCTCTCTGGTAGGATGTCTATTAAGTCTTAGATAATGATCATCTTGTGTCGAATAAGTATTCTTAAAATAAATTTAATTAAAATATTCGTTTTAAGATTCCAAGATCGGAATTTTGTTTTTTCTTTAATGTTCCTTCCTGATCTGTTTCAGTTTTACTTTGTGGAGTTTAATCCAGAAGAAATAGTTTGGGATTATAGTGAGGGAGATTTGTGCAGGATTATCTCCCCATTTCTTTCTCTCTCTGGCTTCAAGAGTAACTAATCTATGTCAAGATGGCTGGCAGCAATTTAAGCTGCAAAGGGCTTTGTATCATTGCTTTCAAAACAGTACCGAAAGGATTCATGGTTAACAATTTGACATCGTTTTGTCATCTCCATTCTTTTTGTTTCCTCATAAGATCAGGAGTGCCACATCTATATGCAAGTGTAGAAGGGAAAAGCCAACGAATAATATACCATTTTAAAACGAAACCTACCAAGTGGGTTCAAATTCCATTTGCTTATCCCAAGTGAAATTTTCTAGAGAGAGGTAAAATATGTATTTCCTTGTACTTAGTCCCATCATTACTCATTTGAATTTTATTACCATCATGTCAAAATGGAAGATAGAATGAATGGAGGAAGGAAATATAATATATACTCCTTAACATCTACAACACACATGTATTGTGTAATTCCTTTTAAATATTGAACAAAATTAATGCCCTAAAAACGACATAAAAAGTAACTATGCATAAAAATATTAAAAATAACGATAACAGTGAAATTTGGTAAATGGATAAGAAACATAATTGTTAATATTAAAATGCTTAATTATTTTATCTACACTAGATAATCTAAATAAACATTGAAATTACTATTATACAAGGAGTTATTTGAATTCTTCTTATTTGCGTTTCGTTTTGGACGTTGTATTCTCCGGCATTTTCATTATTGGAAATTTCAGACCGATCCCTTTATTCAATCCACGGGATTAGAATGTTCTAATTCTACTGTCTATGCTAGGAGATATCACATATTAGTTAATTACTAATACGTGATATCCATTTACACGGACAGGGACTAAGAGCATTTTACGAAGTACTTTAATATTTTGACTTTGTTGTCGACTAAGCACAACTAAAAAATATATTTCTATTGAACTCTGACTAAAAACTGATTAGAATCCATTACAATTTATTCTTTTGAAGTTCCCTATTTATTAGAGTGAAAGAATGATAAGAATACGAATCGGTAGTGACTGGCGATACTGTAGCTTAGTTTTAGTACATAGTCACAAGTATGGGGTACCTAGGGTGGGCCACATTCACAACTAATAATCTACAAGTTTAGCTTGCTTACCATGAAACTACGATAAAGCATATGAAATACAGAAATTACCTGAAAGCAGGCACAGAAAATGGTTTTAAAAAAACGGGTTTCTTTTCGTTTCCCAGTCCTCACAACAACCTGAAAAAAAATCCGTAAGCAACAAGTGATAAGCAGCTGGGTATTGTTTACTGCAATATTCCTCCAAGACGTAGGCGATCTTGGCTTTCCTCAAAGTCCTTTACTTTATTATCTGTGAATTACCATAACTTCTTTGGAAGAATAGTGGCGTGGTTTCGCATAACTTTCTTCACGGTTTCAAATTCAGAGTTTCCTTCTATAAAAATGAATCGAGAGCAAAATGTACCCGGTTATTTAACCCATAGCTAGGAGGAGAATAGATGGAGACATGCGTTTTCCAACGGTATTAGTGTGAAAGTGAGTGCAAATGACTAGGCCGGAATTTGAAATTGTCTTGCCAATTCTACTTTCTGTGACGATGACAGTTACACTACTCACGCAGCCTAATAGCGTCTTAAGAAACGTAAGGTCACGACATTTTAACGTTTATAAAAGACAACTGAAATTTCTATAGACATATTGATGCATTTAATTGGTACGTGTAGGAAAAAAATGACTGTAGATATATAAGTGAGGTTTTGCATTTCAAATTTGTATAATAAGGTAAACAGCCAACTTTGTGGACGAACCTATTTTTGTACGTTTGGCACGTGAAATAAAACAAATGGTGTTCTTCAGAAGCTTACAAGATACATTCTTTGAAATTCACCGAAGTATAAAATATTGTTTTGTGTGCGATAAAAGATGACATATTGTGTTGAGTAAGTTAAATTCAGGTTTATGTCTAAAAATGCTGTCAGAATAACCAAGTTAAAAAAAATCTTGTTCGTACATTTTTAGAGGAATATTATTTTTTTGCAGTCTGCTTTCTATGGTTTTTTATTAGTTTAAAAATATTACTTGCTTAATGTTGATTGGTTAGATTTTATTCTCTGTTTAGCGTCAAAAAATTTCAGTTGTTTTGTTCATACATTATTGTTTTGGTTTACAGAAGTGAGTTTTCAGTTTCAAAGTGACCGTGTCTATTTCGAACACTATACATTGAACGATTAACAGGCTAATCCCGCAGACCATTGTCAGTGAGCGTGTGTGCGCTTATTGTAGCGGTTATCAGCGTGAAAAGTGATACTGGCGAGTAGAGTTCAAATTCTTGCCAACGCCGTTACGTTTTATCCAAATCGGCCTTAATAGCCGGGCAGACTAGACTCTTTAGCTTTGGTTGGCAACCAGCTTAGGAGAACACTAAATGCCAAACCGGTAGGACTATTAACTTCGGCCTGTAAAAACTTATTTGCTATGGAAAGCACAAAGGCAAAACCTAACATAGTGAAGCTGTATACCCCACATGATTAACATACATAACAGAGGATGAAAAGTGTGTCACAGAAATCCGATGGTGCATTAGGATAGCGAAAGATGCCTTTCAAAAGTTAAGCAAAGTAAAGAAACAGAAACATTTCGTTAGAAACAAAGAAAAGAGTACTAAACTGTTATGTAATATCTGTCCTCCTATATGGCAGTGAATGCTGGACAACTGTTCAAAGATGAAGAGACTTGAAGCAAAAGAAATGTGGTTCTACAGAAGGATGCTGAGAATACCATGGACAGAATATGTGAGCAACGTCGAAGTTTTAAAGAAAATAGAGTCAAAAAAGACAATTGTATTTAAAATCAGAAAGAGATAGTTGAAATTTATAGGGCAGATAATGAAGAAAGAGGGTTTGGAAAATTTGATACGCCCAGGACAGATTGCAGGCAATAAGGACAGAACGCGTAACCTACCTAGCGAGCTTTAGTAAATGGATGGCGGAACAAAGTTTAGGAGTAATAAAAGAAGACAACATTTATTAAGAGCTACAAAACACAGGAAATTGTGGAGAGCCATGATCAGCGACGTTCTGTACAAAAGCATAGAAGTAACACATGCACGTAATTGTACGCAGAAAGTGAGATTTTCCAAAGAGCACATTATATACACTAATAAAAAACAAAATGAAAGTTAGTCCGGAAACATTCTCGACTGTCAGCAAATTATTGTGGCTAAATGAAAATTAAATTTCTGTTTTAAAATCATCTGGGAACATATGCACCAAAGCAAAACACTTGTTCCGGAACAATAAATAAATAAATAAAAATTAAATAAATCCATAGTTAAATGTGCTCATATACAAACACTCAGCGCTAGACGTTCGCAGGCTGGCATATTGTAAAATCGACCAACACCCACACATTACAGAACAAAAATTAGAAACTCTAAAATCACAAACACATACAAAAATTTACAGACGGCTATTTAGGGGAAAATAAAATAATAATCACACATAGAGACAACACATATATAGTCAGCCAGATACAAATGTATACGTATACCATTGGCATTCAGGGTTTGATTACAAACCTCACGTTTACAAAACTACTAGAAAATCAGAATATAAGCGTGTGTATTGTGTATGTATGCTACACGAACACACATGAATATTTCAACCTTTCCATAATTTCAATTTGTGACACTGGTTGGCAACGACCCCATCTGACGGCGACCTGAACAAACACATAAATTTCCCTCCTTAACTGATTCAACTTCACGGATTCTGAGAAAACCTCTATGTTCATCGCGGACAAGTTTAGGAGACTAAAGCTAAGCATATTTGAATATTTACACAGAGAGAGAGAGAGAGAGAGAGAGAGAGAGAGAGAGAGAGAGAGAGAGAGAGAGTGTGTGTGTAAGCGGTTGTTTTATTCTTCTTGAAACTAAAAAGATACCTATAAACATAGGCAAATGAAGTGGTTGCTGTAGACCACTGGTAAGCAGGCTATAATCATCCTACACACACACACACACGCACACACACACACGCACACAGATATATAGAGAGAGAGAGAGGGAGAAAGAGAAAGAGTGAAAAAAAGAGAGCGAGAGAAAGAAAGTGAGAAAGAAAACGAACGAGAGAAAGAACGTGAAATAGAGACAGAAAGAAAGAGTGAGGAAGAAAGAGAGCGAGAGAAGTGAGAGAAAAAGTGAGATAGATAGATAGAGAGAGAGAGAGAGAGAGAAAGAGAGAGTCAGAAAAAAGAGAGCGAGAGAAAAAGAAAGTGAGATAGATAGAGAGAGAGAGAGAGAAAGAAAGAGAGAGTGATAAAGAAAGAGAGAGATAGAGAGAAAAAGTGATATAGGCAGATAGATAGATAGATAGATAGAGAGAGAGAGAGAGAGAGAGAGATGGGGGGGAGATAAAAATTGAGGTTGAATAGGGAAATTATATGCGTTAATGGCTCTGTTCCTTTAAAAGAAATCCCAATAGGAAATCAGAAGCACATTTCTCTGGCCTAGCTTAGACATTCTACTACTTCCACACAATACAAATTAAAGCACAAACATTGAAAACATATTAACAACGAACCCCTTATAAATGTCTAA